ATTTAGTTTAAGTAGTTACAAATTTATTGTTGGCTAGCTGAATTATCGATCAACGATTCATCAAAAAAAAATATGATTATGATTACAATCTGACTGGGGTTTGTATTGTAAAACCCGGATAAACTTAAATTTTTATGAAAAATGACAAAACAAAAATTAGCCACTACAGTACAGGTTGAAAAGCCAAATTTTTTTAGAACTCAAATAACGAAATGAACCTCACCTTTAGATTCGTCTCGCGAAATCTAGTTATTTTGTCAATTTTCGTTGAATTTTGATGCAGTCAAATTTTTTACATTTTACGAGGAGATCGGATGTTGCGTGACCTAAAAACAAGATTTGGAATTAAACTTTAAAAATTGAAAAATAATTTAAATAAAAATATTTTGAATTTGAACCGAAACGAAATTTAAATATTTCGGAACGAAATCAGACCTGAAAATGGAGGACGTGTGGTGCAACGAGGGTCAAGCATCTAAGGGGTATAAATAGGGAAAAAATTAGATTTTCTCCCCATACCTATCAGATTTTTGAAATTAGAGAGGAAGAGAGAAAAAATAGAGGATTCTCCAACTTCTCTCTACGATCTACGTCTCTACGTTGGTCGAAATTCTTCGGGTTAAGAACCAAAGTTCATTTACATTATGAGGGCTACATCTATGTACCAAAAATCGAAGGTTTTGACGAAGAACAAAAAACAAAATTTTGGAGGAAATAAGGATTAGAGCTTGTTTCAGGTCTAGGAAGTTTTCTATCGTTGTTTTACGTTTCAAGAGATATGATTCTTTTTTCTAATTAGGTTTATTTTTAACCTAGGGCTCCATATGATATGAATAGCATGACTTGAGATGAATTCTCTTATTTGATATATTCCTAGTGTAACTAGATTATAAAAAATGAGTATAAAAATATGCTAAATCAATCTTACATGAATTAAGTTTGTAGAATTTACTTGTTTGGTAAATTTATGAAAAATGTGATAATTGAGCATTATTGTGTGTTACATAATTTGGTGTCTTGAATGTGTTTGATAAAATGCACATATTGATGTAGCATGTTAGTTTTATTGAAAATGTTATAACACGCTTAAGTATTGAGAATGTTTAAAATCAATTCTAGAATGAATAGGGTACTTAGAAATTACTTGTTTGCGATATCTTGAGAAATATATTGATTGAGCATGTTATGTGTTTACATTTATACCTTGAAGGTGTTTGATGAAATGTCTATGTGGATTAAGTGTGTTATTTTCATTGATTGTGTTATAACATACTTGGGAGTTGGTGTTGGTATATAATTCTGATATATTGACATTGAGATTGTTTTTGGTGGTTATATACTTGATTTAATTTACCATGAAAAATGTTGTTGGATATTAAATTGTTCATAATGTGCTTGTGACATATTAAACATGATTGAGAATTACAATTGTACATTTATATTACAAATGCACGAGTAACATCACATTTATGGCATTTGACATGAGTGTGAGTGTGTGTGCATGTTTTTGAATCAAACATCATTCTTGGTGGTTGAGGCATGGACTTGGAAAGATTGGACCTAGGTTTAACTGAGTTGAACAATTGCATTAAAAAAAAAATTGTGTCGGGTATAGCAAAAAAGTAGGTGTAAGACCTGGTTACTAGTTTATTTACTTCAGATGGTGCAAGTCCAAAAAAGTTTAACGGTATACAGAACTGGCGGTGAAATTCTAAAATTTAAATACCCAACAAAGACACATGGTTTATTTTAAAAAGGTCATTGGATGTGTAACATCAATGACGAGGGCCTGGAATGTTTGGATTCATACGCATGACATTACATGTGTTGATAGAGCCGGTAAAGGCTCAGGTTGAGTTGCATGTGTAAGTCTTATCTTATATCATGCATGACATTGAGGATTCTATTGTTGAATTACATATTCTTGAATGGAGTGATTGTTGCTTGTAAATTGTATGTGAACATTTTATATGCATCTAGGTTGGAGAGTAGTTTCTTTAGGAAATACCCTATTGAGCATTACTCACCCTTTATGGGGACAATATTTCAGGTGCGGGACATGCGCCAGTGGACAACTCTCATTCGGGTCCTCATTGACGAAGAAAAATCGAAATGTGACTTTTAAATTATGTTTTTGTAAAACTAAGATGTAAATTAATTTTTGGACATGTAATGTATGTAAAGGATTGTAATCGAACTCATATGGACTATGTTTAATGTAAAATTGCATGTTGTTATATAAGTATGGATAAATGGATCCGGTGTGGTCAATGTTGTATGATTGCACAAATTGTGTTTTGGGTGGAGCTCCTCGTACAAATGAGATTTTGCCTAAATTTTGTTAAGTTATGGATCTCGATAAATGGGGAATAAAGACATGGTTTCGAGTTACACGGTATCCATGGGTATTTCGCGAATTGATAGGTGAGGGTGATCAACGAGTTGACAAAGGACCTTCGATTTTAATGGTGTCACATGTATTCGTTGAAGTACCCTCAGACCTTTCGCCAATATGTTTTAGATTTTTGCTTATTTTATTTTCATGCACAACACCCACGCTAATATTAAGCCATGTCGAGATTAAAACTAAATCCTCATCGACTGTAAAGTTGTCACCTCAAACTTTTTTGGTCATGGATTCTATTTGATGTGATATTCGTGAAAAATGACCTATGTGATCTACTAATTCGGTATTAAACTCATCTAAGTTTGTTCTGTCGTTTAAGAGATTTGTGTAGTAATATTCATGTTCAAATGGTTTCATATGTAATGCTTAGAATTCAAGTCAAGACATACATTATTCATGTAATTCAACTCAAAACATACTATAACAATAATTCTAATCAAATCAACCTAATAGCAATAACACCCATCCACTTCAAATAACAAAAACTAATTGATCATAGCAATTTAATCACCTATTTAACAAAAAATTAATAGCAATTTAATCACCTATTTAACCAAAAATCAATAGTAATTTAATAACATATTTAACTAAAAATCAATACCAATTTAACCACCTATTTAACCAAAAATCAACAAAAATGAGGGTTTTCGGCATTGGGGTGTGGGTTTCAGCATGGGGAGGGGGAGGTAGGTTTTGACTGTAAAATAAAGAGAAGGGGGAGGTGGGTTTCAGCAGCAAAATAGAGGCGTGGGGGTATGGAGAGGGAGATGAATACTTGACCGTTCAGTTGGAAAAGTTCAGCAGAAAGAAGTGACGAGTATAAAAAGGTTTGCAGATCTAGCAAGCATGAAGGCCTCCTAGGTTTTAGCGAGGATGATAGCTAGTTGGATTGGAGCTGATTTTTAGAGTCAACCTCACCAAAATAGTTAAAAATTATAGGATAACTAGTTGGGTTAAAGATGTTCTTAGATGCTTATGAGCTGATTAGAATGAAGGAAAGTTATATGACTGGAAAAGAGAGGGAAAAAATAGGATGTAAGTAATGATTTTACATTATTTGATTTGGAAGAAAAATAAAATGGAAACCTTTTTAACTCCGCCCACTAAAATGTTTTCGTTCAAAAAAGAGATTGCTTTCAAACTAAAAATGTTAGTATTATTATTTGAAGAATTTTTTGTTGGGTTTGACAAGAGTGATTACTCGGTATGAAGAAAGATCAATGCAATTACCGGATTAAAGATTTTTTGCGAGTTTGAATGTCCAAGTATTGTCTATTTTAAATCCTATTATTAGAACATCTCTAATATTGCTTTTTTTTTTTAAAAGAGAAATACACAACAAAATTCAAAGCTGTAAGCACACCCTATTATCATGGTCCACGACACAACGAAACTTAATATCCATAGATAGGCATGAAACTGCAACCCTCGGATCTATTTTCCTGGGATAATCTTCAAGCAAACTGCGACTCGCCCCAGATGCGCGTGCGTATTCCCTGCAACAAATACTCAATGGTAAATGTCCTTAAAATTTGTTATTTAATCACTTAGATCCCCACATATTCAATATATTATAACTGGACGCCTGAAGTTTGTGCGCATGTACAAAATCCCTATCGTCACTCTCCGTTAAGGTAGCCGTTAAAAATTCATTAAACAGAATAAATATTTAATTGTTATCAGCTAAAAATTTTGTAACAATGACTATTTTCTATTTTTATTTGATATCAATTTGCTAACAAACAAACAGTGAAATAAAGAAACAAAACAAGAAGGATGAAATAGAACATATATTTCAAAAAAATATCCTATTTACTAAAACTCATGTTCTACCACACCATATATTCGTATTAACATCAATACTCAATAATAATGCACTAATCAATATGTTTTAAAAAAGTCACAAATAACCAAAAATATATTATTAAATCATGAATTATTTTCTTAAAATCCAAAAAAAAAAGTTAATTTTTTAATTGGGACTGGTAAATTTTTAACGGCTACCTTAACGGAGACTGGCGATAGTGATTATTTGTTACACATGTACAAATTATAGAGATTTATATGTCATATATTAAATATTATGAAATTTAAGTGATTAAATGACAAAATTTAGAGGGCTGAATGTAATTTATCCAATACTAGAAAGAGCGTAGAATTAAATTCTCAAGTCAAAGAAGAATAATCCAACGGTAGTGCTTCATAGTATCTCATTTTTGTCTGATCATGGGGTTCACCGGATCTCAATCGCGTCATGTTGCACATGCAATGAAGCATACACTGCCACCCGTGAAAAAAATAGGTGCCAACTATCTCCTCATTAATCACTCTCCACTCCCACCACCTTCTACCCTCGGTTACTCTGGCTATCACTAATACTACATTGACCAAATTTAGATTAAATTTAAAATTCAAATAACATAATATCATATTATTTAAAAATTTTATTGGGACTCAAATGATATGACACCAAAAAATAAAAAATTAAGTCAATTGTTATATAATTTAAACACTAAATTTAATCTCAAAATTTGATCAACGTAACATTATTAATATATATAAACTCCAATACATTACTCCCTCTCCCTCTCTCTCTCTCTCCCTCCTTGCATATGTATGTAACAGTCTTAAGATATTTTTTGTGTGTGTGTGAGAGAGAGAGAGAGAGGGAGAGAAAGAATGGAAGGGGTCTCAGCAAATGCATACAAGGGATTGAGGGGCTACTGGAGGAGGAGGGGCTATGAGAAACTCAATCGGGCAGGTCGGAGACGTAAAGCGACTAGGGTGGAGCTACCTGCGGCCGGTGCTAACCGAAGCAGGCGGTTCTGGAGGATAAAGATTGCACCGAAGCTGAAGCTGAAGTTCCGGTTCTCGCCCAAGAAGTTCTTCATTGGGCTTAGGGATGCGTACGTGAATATGATGCTGAAGATTGCCAATTCCGGAGTTGGGAGCAGTGGGATTGGTGGGTTCGGAGGGGATGGTATTGCAGCGTTTGGGAGGGCCCCACGTAAGGAGTATGATGAGAGGATGATCGTCGAGCTCTACAAGTCTTTGGTATTGGCCAAGGCTCAATTGGTCGCCGGCGATGCAACCAGAATCGGCACCGAGATCGTTTGCTACCGGTGACTGTGGAAGACCGGCCGGTAACATGAATAAATTGATTTGATTTCACGTGTTGGTTTTCTCCTCTTAATTTCTAAAAAGTTTATTGTATTGAGATGTTTATATCTTCCAATAATCATGATGAGATTGGAATAGTAGATGAGAATGCAACCAGCCAAACTTTGATAGGCTCATCAATTAGCTTCAATTCACAGCCAGATAAAAAAAAAAAAACCTGGATAACTAGTGGCCCACTGTATGTATATCCTTTTGGGTATTATTGAGACTACTAGTTTTTGGAAACTATGGAGGAATATTCGGTAGTGCTATTTTTTTTTTTGGTTAACCATCAACGTATTTGGGTCAATTTATATGTATATCGATTAATTTTTTTTGATCTAATAAAAAAATAAATCATTCACGTCGAAAATAAAATATTCATGAAGATAAATCTCTTATAACCTGCTTCAAAAGAATTATTAAAATTTGAACTTAAAACATTTAAATTTATAACTCGTCACTATTACTAGTTGAAATATCTTGGAGATTATTTGATAGAGCTATTCAAAATATTATGTATATTAAAGGTGGATTTTAGTTTGAAACTCAATTTGAGGAAAGTATATTCCTTTCATATCAATTTATAGGCAAGAGTTTGGGCACCGAGCACAGCATTACCTTGTTTTGTGTTGTATATGTAATCAAGCGGCTTGAATAGTCCAGTCCAATCCATTTGCGTTTAGTGAATTCTGGCATACACTTTAAATTTAAACATCTTGGATTAAATTCTTTATGATAATTCTCTGATTTAATCTGTGATTATTGGTTGATTGCATAGTATTTAAAATTTATTCCGTACGTTGGTACAATGTGACCCCTTAAAAAAGATTCCACCTAATCTAATTAGGTTGAATTGACAGGGGAGAGTGAGCTGCGAAGTAGTCTTCCTGCATTGCATGGTAGTGGTAAGACAAGTATTAGGAATCATAACTTGGTATATATAAACAGAGAATAATATTAGGTGGAGGAGGAGACCCTTCGAAACTGAGGGAGCAAAGGTTTAATAATCCTAGCAAGTAGTGGAACCAGAGTGGCCCACTGGTATGCATAACCCTACCCCTTTTGGGTGGCTTGGTTGGTGGGTAGGGACTCCTAAGAGTACGATGCAATCTCCACCAAATAAATCGGCGGCCGGCCCGTCGCATTGTGCATTTAATACTGCTTGCAAGGCGTGGTTCATGCTGGATTCCAAAATCGATTTGAATCACGTATGGTGGAGTTTCGTATCATGTATGTATAATATTTTGTTGTCGGGTCTAATGGGTCTAAGTCATTTAACCCATGAGGAATAAAGTCAAACTTGTTTATTTTCGTATATTTTATGTTGATTTTGTGGGTCGTGCTTAAAAATAGGGAGTCCCATATTAAGTTGTGAGCAATTGTATTGCGACTGAAATGCCCTTCCTATGACGTTGAAAGCAATTTTCAACGTGAAATCAGTTTCCTAACTGGGAAACATCTACACTTTAATTCACGCTCAATATAGATATGTGAGTAAGATTTTTTTTATTAAAGTTCATACCTCAATTATTAGCAAGATTTATAGACCTCATAAAGCCGAACGAACGTAGACATGGCCCAGAGTTTCGTCATGAGCTTATGTTTGAAAGAAACCTATGCGACTATAAATCTAAAACCCAGTTCAATTCCTGATGTGCCTCTGCATGGGCAGTGGCCAGAGTAGCTGTTTTTTCAAAAAGTGGGCCTAGGTATTTAAAGTTCTCGGATTGGGTCAAGGCTTTGTTCCTGAGGCCTTGTTTGTGACCTTACCGCATTGGGCTTTTTCCAAAATTGGGTAAGGTGGTTACTAAATTTTTTTTGGTCAAATCATAGAATGTATTTGCTCTTTAATTTCATTCTAAACTTCATTAAATTACATGCTAATGTATTTAAATACGGAAATTTTATTGGCAGTCCTTATCATTATGCACTCCTACCTCGGTAGTTTGAAAATATGGATCGGCGCTTGTAACGGGCTTAGTGGCCCATGATGATTCTTCTGAGAATGTCCACACCAACAGTACACAAATCCTTCTAAGAATGAAAAGAGAGGACATGAAGGAAGCTCTATAAATTGGGAGTTATCGAAATTCTTTGCTAGTAGATAGATATTGAAGAAGATCATTAACCGATCTTTGGTTCAATGGTATATTTTGTTTTGTGAAAACTTAATTTTCATGAGGTCAAGGATTCAACTCTTTTAGGCGACAAAAACATGATTGATTGATAAGTTGAACTTCAGTTGTTTAGACGGATCGTATCTAAACCTCTGGTGTGGATTTAAATTCTCATCAATGGTCTAAGAGTTGAGAGACTAGTTCATGGATCCAAAGTTTGTCCCCACTTCTTTTCAGACTTACAAGTCTAAGCAACTAAGTCACATCTATCTCACCGGGAATAAATAAGATATTTCCTTCTCATATTTGAAGTTTGTTCTCAGTTCTTATCAGACTCACAAGTCTAAGCAATTAAGTCACCTCTATCTCATCGACAAAACATAAGAGATTTTCCTCTAAAAAATATGATGAAGACCATTAGAATTGAGTATCATAATTAAGCTTCAAAATGAAATAAAGTAATTTTCTTCCACTAGAAGATTTAGACCTAGTCATGCATGACTCAGGAAGCTTTGGAGCAAGTAACTTTCTAAACCGGCTTTGTTCTAAAGTGAAGTAAAATCCAAGCAGAGGAAAGTTCTCTCTGCTAATAAAGTAAAGCCAAAATCATATCTCTTTTAGTAATTAACCCTTTAATAAAAAGCTTATTGTCTTCCAATATCACATGTTAAGGTTTATAAATAATCACCATAGCATGATTAAGGTTCCTTTACATGTCATCTTTTGTTTTATGTTTTTATTGTAAATTAGTGCGTTGACCCTGCAAACTTTTCATTACATAGCAAAAAAGCTATAGCAAGGAAATGAAGATGTAATCTTGTTTATACTATGTTTGAATTTCATGGGTCCTCTGATAATTGAAAGATTAGCATGTGTTTGACCTAAATTTAACGAGATTTAATGAGCACGGCCCTCTCTAACAAATTTAGTGTTTTTTTTTAAACAAGGTGACGTTTACCATTGGAAGATTGATAAAAGATTTAAGAAAAACAGAAAGAAGGTAATGTGCAATTCAACTTGAATTGTTCTGGTCCATATTAGGTGAGTATTAGAAAGAAGAATGCTTCAAAGTCTCCACTAAGAACTTGGGTAACTGTACTTGTGGAAAATAACATTGGAAAATCACTCCCCGGATGACTAATACCTTGGAAATTAACTTATGCACCGTAGTGCATGGATGCAGGGCCCACTTATAAAGGGTCACAATTTTATATTCACAAATTGCAATTGACCTAAATCTAAACGTGTGTTAGAAGTTGAAACCTCAACGATAATTTAAATTTGTAAATTTAAACGTCATGAGTTCGAATGTTGGTAATATCTGGGGGTCAAAAATCTCAAATAAATATTTTAATCTCGATGTGGATGACTTATCTTTGATCGAAATAAAAAAAAAATTAATCGAAATATACGCAAATTGACTTAAACAATTCTGACCGATGAACCAAAAAACAAAAACGTGTGTTAGCCGTTTGAATTTTACTTCAAAGTAAATATTAGGGGCGTTATCATTGTTTCTTGGACGGGGTCAATGTGCTACCAAGAAAAGAGAAAACGACTTTGTGTGGTGTGTGTTAGCACTCAACGGCTAAATGATGTGTATCAGGGCAGGTTTTATCTATTTATAAAAATTGGGTCCCCCAAGTCAATGTTAAAACTCATGTGGATGTGGTAATGCCAACGGCTAGGCCCAGCAACGTCTACGTTAATCTGATAGTTAAGTAAACACAATGCCTGATAAGTCTCTCTCTAATCCAAATCTCTTCCATGGCCGACTTCCTTCAAGCTTTGTTCCAAGCTCATTATTTATTTATTTTGTCTTCTTTCTGACCAAGGTATCACCGTCTTCAAGTTTTGGTAGTCCATTCTCTCAAAGGGTGAGTTTTTTTGTCTCGGTGTATTTTTGTCGTTTATATCATCGTCTAAAATTTAGATTTCGTTATGCATTTCATAATCACATTCATTAACTTCATATAACTTGTTAGCTATAGGGATGATCTAGAGAACTCATGGGGGAGGCTTTAATCACAATCGTTGCGTTGGACTAAAATTTCATTCTTTAGTATTATTTGATAACATTATTTTAAGATTAAATTATACGTATGATTCTCAAATTTTAACTATTGTGTCAATTAAATCATTAAATATTTTTTTTAGTCAATTGAGTCCCTGAATTCTCTATGAACACTTCCGTCTGTTTCTGTTAGATTTTTTAACAAAAAGTGTTGGAGTGTGCCACAAATAGTTGGAGATAGGGGCCTCAAATTATGATTCTTGTGTTAATTAAGTCTCTAAATATATTTTTTTGGTCATTTGAACCATTGAACTCTCTAATTGTATTAATTGAATTTTTTTTATGCTATATAGTCACATAAGTGACACACTCCAATGGAGGCAGGTGAACCCTTTTATTTTTTTGTACCATATAATCACATGAGTGACACATTTTAATAGAGACAAACAGAAAAACTCAATTGACATAATTAGATAATCTAGGCACTCGATTGATAAAAAAGACTTAACCTTGGAATTTTCTCCGGCATGTGATATGATCCATTCCAATGTCTGACAGTGACAAGATAAAAAGAGAAAATAATGAGAAATTTGCAGCCCCTTCCATGGGGTGTTATGCTAGTCCTTAATCTTCAATTGACTACAAAAATAATGATGGATAGCCAACTATATGTACTAATCACAAAGTGTATTAAGATATCGTTTTTTAACCACCGAGTGACTTTTTACATATATATGTCGTGTTTGGTTTGAAGGAAAGTTAGGTAGTTAGAAAATGGTGGAAGGAAAGTTGGGTAGATAGAAAGATTTTTCACTGTTAGGTATCAAAGGAATGTATAATGGAAAGGAAAAGTGGAGAGAAAGCATTTCCCTCTAGCCCATACTTTCTTTTCCCCCAAAAAAAAGTGAGCAGAAAGTGAGAAGGAAAAGTGGGATAATATGCTTTTTAAGACAAGTTTATTTTTTTGCCCTTAAATATATTCTAATATATATACTGTACCAATACAATTGTACATTTGGCATGCATGTTTTTCCTATTTTTTTATTTTTTTATCTAATACCAAATGATGAAAAATATATTATTCTTATTTTTTATCTCTCCTATCAAATAAAAAAAAAATTAATTTTCTTTTCTTCAAGAATAAAAATTTTATTTCA